GTTTTCTGTTGTGTTGTATGTGTGTAGTGCTTTGCACAAAGGGCCTGGAACATTGGCTGGGTCCTGGGGTCTACCCTAATCCACCCAGCAATATAAATAAATATTCTTCTGGGCTTTCTACAGTGTGTGTTACTGTAACACCAAATCAGCATGTGCATGAATGGACGTATGTTTGCAATACCCTTGCTGAAGCAAACAGCATTAAAAAAAAAAAAATCCCCACCAAAACAACAAAAAACCTGCAGCCAAAGCCAGATCAAAGCCAGATTTCTAAGCCCCTGCTGATCTGGAATACCTCATGGATTGTATATAGCTGGAGAATTCTCAAAGGTCTGCTACTTGAAAGCACCCAGTGTGCTTAATATTTCTGTAGATGTTCTAAAAACCACAAAACATTTTTCCACACCCCAATTTTACAGATGGTGCAAAAGAAACAGAAAGACAGAGCTAGGTCAGTGTGAGATGAATACTAAAACAGACTGTACTCTTTAATGTAACCAGCAGCACAAAACAAGCAAATTAAAAAAGGATTTTCTTTCAGTTAGTTATTATAAGAATTACTTGTTTTCAGAAAGCTCTTCCCCTTCATTTATCAGTCCAGTTTTTAATCTCTTCAATTAAATCTATAATTACTATGGATTCACAATCTATATAAGAATGATATGGATATTCACATTTTTTGTCTTGTCATTATCTTATTGTAAAAGATTAAACTGATCAAAACAGTTTTTTTTCTTCCTTCCACTGCCTTCTGTCAGTCCAGGAATGTTTTCATCTCACACTCCTTTCTAATTTCTGCTTGATTTCCCCTGCTGCTCTTCTCTGTTTGTATTTCGTACAAAAGCTGCAGGAGGGCATAAAACACTCACACACAGAATTAAAGTGCTAGGACGATTTTGTTAGCACCTAGAAACTTACCTTCAGCCGTATTTATCACAGAAGAAATTATAAATGGGATAAGTAGTTAAAGCTGGAGGCAGAAACACACGTTTTGGAAACACTGGCTGTTATGACTGTTCTTTTTACTAGGTAGCTACAGAGTGCCACCTATTGCCTCCAGACGAAGCAGTGGTAAATTTGTGTGGATTGCAGCGCTTTATTTACTCCTTTGCACCTGTCTCTATTATAGTGACTCTTCCTTTCTTCTTTATATTTTTAATTCCTCCTGTGTTCTCCTTCACAGATGCACTGTCTCCCTTTATCCTGTTCTCGTTTTCCTTTGCTCTTTTCTTTTTTTTTTTTCTTCCTTCCACTGCCTTCTGTCAGTCCAGGAATGTTTTCATCTCACACTCCTTTCTAATTTCTGCTTGATTTCCCCTGCTGCTCTTCTCTGTTTGTATTTCGTACAAAAGCTGCAGGAGGGCATAAAACACTCACACACAGAATTAAAGTGCTAGGACGATTTTGTTAGCACCTAGAAACTTACCTTCAGCCGTATTTATCACAGAAGAAATTATAAATGGGATAAGTAGTTAAAGCTGGAGGCAGAAACACACGTTTTGGAAACACTGGCTGTTATGACTGTTCTTTTTACTAGGTAGCTACAGAGTGCCACCTATTGCCTCCAGACGAAGCAGTGAGCTCTTAATAGAAGTTACCCTGAAATTACCTTTGCCTCAGTTACTGTTTTCTATAGACAACTCCACATTTTAACGGAGTGCATGTACTGCAAGAAAATATCCTTCACATTTGAGTTACTTTTCTTTCACTTCTTAGTTCCCATCACCACCATCTCACTTCTTAGTCTCCCATCACCATCATCTCCAAGTATTTAATTCCATTTCCTCCTTTCTAGCATTTATGTGCATTCAGTCTAAATTCCCTTCGTGTGTCTGACAATTACATTCATAAAGAATTTTAACAGAGGCAAAGGAGTTTTTCCTAATGTTGCTTCCCAGACACTCAAGAAAAATTAGAGCACCTGTTCTTAGATCACCTAAACCATCATATTAAAAGAGATTACTATAAATTTTTATACCAAGTGAATAAATATGTAACATCCTCATCTTTAGCTTTATCAAAACCAGCCTTTTCTTGGAGTGTGACTAAAGCATTGACAGATAACTTATTTCTGCATTACTCTTCAGAGAGGACCTCATCTGTGGCAGATATTGTAGTCTGTTTTCTTGAGAAACTTGTTTTCTACTTTAACTTCATAACATGCTACAGAGGTTTATGATCATCATTTCATTTTCATGCTAAGTACACTATACAGGTGTGAATCATGATATATTTAAAAAAATCTTAGTCATTTATTATACTATGGTGAATTGGCATATACCTTCTCCTTCCTGTGGTTTTTGCCGTACAGTCGTGGTTAACGGTTATTTCTGTGATGATGACAACACCTGAGTGTTCTTGAATCCACCTTTCAGATGCTGCAGAGTACTGAGATATGAAAGAAATATGAAGACATATTATAGTTGGTCCGTCTCTATACAGCCAAATTTTAATTACGACCACAATGACCCAATTACGCCAAAGAGCAGCACCCGAACCCCACTGTGTTCTAATCACAGCTTCTGACATTCCCTCGTTATTGTTTGAGCTTCCTCTGAACATAATCATCCAAGAGCAGAATGTGAATTTTGCTGTCAAAAGGCCAAAATTACAAAACAGCACTGACAGCATTTTAGGCATAAATCTGCTGACCTGATCTGAGACAGGGATTAATAACTGGGCCAACTTTTTGTTGAGCTGCACAGCTTACTGTTCAATGGATACCCAGTTGTACTGACCTAGTTTTGCCCATAGCACCAGCTTTCAACTTTATGATCCAAGCTGCCTGTCACATGGGGAAATACTCAGCTTCGTTTTGAACCAGAGTTCTGATTTCTCACCAGCAGAGCATGCAAATGTATTTGTTTGACTTTACTGCCTCATTTACCTCAATACCCAGGTAAATAACAATGGCAGTAGCCCAACTCTTGCAAAGTGCTTTTGGTGTGTAGGCCTCAAAGACGGCAAGTGTCACTGTATCAGTTTGTGGATGAGGAAGCTGAAGCTGGAAGAACAAATTACTTGCCAAGATCACTCAGCGGTGCGTGCGCTAAGCAGGGGAAGGAATCCACCCTTCCAACTCACTGTCCTAGTTTTGCCTCAACCCCTAGGCCACCCTTCCTAATTAGAAACCTGTTTAGACTTCTTAGATCTGGATTACATTATGCATAATCTGCACATATTTAAGAAGGTGCTAAAAGTGTTGCTATGAGGCAAATCAACAGTAATTATCCAAAAGAAAAGAAAACCCCCTTTTTATCTCATTGGATAAAAATACTTCATGAATATGCAAACTGAAGAGAGTACACTTTTTTCTCACAGCTGTATTATTAAAAGCTTGTTTTCTGACTACAGAATGTTAAGAAAAAGTTACAAGATGAAAGACCATATGGTCCATATGAAGGACCATATGTATGCACTAATACTTTCATTAACGGTTACAATCGCATCTAATAATATTATTAATAATATTATTAAAAAGTTGCTTTAGTTTTTTATTTCAAAAATATTAAGCTTCGGTTTCAGAAAGTTGGGATGTTATTTAAAGATCATGATCAAGCTGGGGGCATTCTTTGAACATTAGCTCTGGGCAAAGATGAGCAAACGCCTACTGATTTTGGAACTGTCATGTAAAGGTTAAGTCCCCATGTATACAGCCATAAGACTTAACTGGCATCAAGTAAACCACCCCCTCTATGGATCACTTCTCTCTCTCCTTTATTTTTCCTTCTTTAAAAACAAAATGGAAATGAAAAAAACATTCGTATGATGTAGAACTGTTATACAATACATAGAAAATCTTGGATCTGTTTTACAGGAAGCATTCTGGAGCATGTTTCTGTAGATGGGGGGGTGTGGATGCGTATGTGGGTGTGTGTTTACAATTGTCACTTTGCTGGTAACTTTTATTTGTAAAAACTGAGAATTAGAAGAACCTGCTGTTTCTTGTGAGGAGTCACTGACATGTAAATGTGCGTGTTTGTGAGTTTTTGCAGGGCTGGGCTTAAGATTTACACATACGAATATAACAGCATTTACACTTTTTCTGTAAATTGTTAGAGGGATTTGAAATGGGGTAAGTACCAATAAGTACGGGGGGGTGTATGTGTATACCATTGTGTGCGCTTCTGTATGCAAGGGAGAGACAGATCGGAGGCCTTGTATGTCGAGTAGAGATTGGGAACTGGAATACCTGGGACACTTTCTCAAGGATGCTACCTTGATTGCCTAGGAAAGTCATCTCTTTCTGGACATAAGTTTTCCCATCAATAAATGCATGTTATTATGTTTACATCCTTTGGGGCGTATTTTCAATTTACAGAAGAAAAGTGCTGTCTGAGATGTAGCTGTTACTATTTATTGATTTCCGTTGCAATGAACACCTTTTTAAACCAGGAAGACAAAAGCAGGTATCCCTCAGTCTGGTTCAGTGGCAAAGCTGCCATGTGACTTTACAATTGCAAGCTCCTAATGATATCAAACTGGAGTTTTTCATGAGCTTCTGCTCTATTAGCTTGATCATACTAATGTTTTTTGCTCCGAATCTGTCAGGAGTGCCATTGCTTTGCCTAGAGTTCTAAATTTCTTCTTTGTTCATATTGTTTAAAGCGCAAGACTAGAACTTAAAATAAAAAAGGTACCATGCAAAGATTGATTCTACTTGTATATAAAGTACTGCTGTAAATTAGATTATAAAATATCTTCACTGCTTTGTTTTTTCTTTTAATAAATCCGCCACTTAGTGAAGAGGACTCCAGTGGGCTGAAATTAATAGAGGTGTTTGGATTCAACCAGGAGGAAAAAAAAACATAGTAATGTTGGTTAATTCCTACCTTATCTGTCAACTATTAAGAAATTTATCTCATTTGTTAAATGGTTTCTTTAGGCAATAATAGGCCATTGTGTCCTAAATAAAATATAGTATGCTTAAGATGCCTTGAAAAATGCATACACAGTAACAGTTTTGAATGGATAAACATTATCATTTTGTTTCCCTGCAGAGAGCCTCGAAAAATCATCCTGCACAAGGGCTCCACAGGACTTGGTTTTAACATTGTGGGAGGAGAAGATGGGGAAGGCATTTTCGTGTCTTTCATCCTAGCAGGCGGGCCTGCCGATCTCAGCGGAGAGCTGCAGAGAGGAGATCAAATTTTGTCGGTAAGTATTTGTGTTGGGCGTTGATAGCCAACTACTTAATCTTATTCTCTTTATACACTGCAAGGGAGACGCAAAGACATCTCTTTTGTTTCCATGTTGTGAAATCCAAGCTGCAAACAATTTATCACAGACTGTTTGGGGGTTTTGCTCTGGGTTTTTATTGCATTTGTTAATGGTGTTACCCTCAGAATGAGATTTTTCTCTGCTTAATGCTATCTGCAATATGGCAACACCGCAGAGAGGACCTAAACAAAGCGCGGACCTCAGCATCTCCCAGTTTAGCCCATCGTCCAATTCCAGTTTGCCCGAAATATACTGCAGAGTCTAAAGATATTTCCCAGTCTTAGCTTTTCTTTCAGAAGAAAAAGAAGTAGATGAAATCCTCTAGGCTGGGGGTGCCATCTAGTGTGCACTAAACGGCTTCGCAAGCAGCCAAATACGAGAAGGAGATTAATTAGGTTATGTTAATTATCTCTGTGCCTCTAATGAATTTGATGATCACTCTGAAATTCGCTTTCAAATTTTAGAGGATAAAAGGCTTTTTATCCTCAGGTTATATTTTGCATACTTAGTCTCAAAACCATCTTTTTAATTTTTCTTTCATGTGTGTATTGATTGCACATGTTGAAAAAACAGCATTTGTGTTTTAGGCTCTGCCAAGTAATTGAACAACCAACTGAAACAATCTGAATGTAAAGGATTTTGAATGACAATGAAAGTCTTGAAAATGTTGTTAATTATCCATTCACATTATGCCACCGTACAGAAAGAAGAAACTATCCCAAATTGATACAGTTGTGGCTGTTTCATGCAAAGTACGTAAACAGCCTTAAGGCAAAGAGCTGAAAAACAGGAATTATTCATCCTGGATGAGTGAGGGCCCCACGAGGCTGCAGCGTCACTCTCCGTCCCGCTGTCGTGCTTTCTGTCCCTGTGAATCTTGCATCCTCAGCTGCACTTTGGTTAGCGCTGGGTGGAAGACGGCTGTAGCCTGGGCAGTTTGTGGCGTGGTTAAATGGTCAATGTTTACATCTCTCAGTGAGGGAGCTGGGACTGGTTTTCCTACATTGCTAAGGAGTTTCTTGGCCATGGGCCTATTCTATGAAAAATAAAATTGCTTCAACCTATCAAAGTTTTGATATGAAAAGGTGGTTGGGGCAGCTTTGTGATACATAGAAAATCTAGCTAGTTGACACCAAAGGGATGCAGTAACCTCAGGCTGTGAGGACCATAGTAGTATATTTTATCTAGACCTGTTCCTTGAAAATGCTTTAAGAAAAACTGAGAAAGGGCAAGTAAAAGACATTTAGGTACCTTAAAGAGGTCCCCGAGTAGAAAGTTTGTAGGAAACTGTAAGAAAACCAAATTAGGCTCTTATAATGTTATCAACGTGAAGAGATAAGGAAGGCAAAGGTGTGTGCCAAGAGCACAGGCAAGAAACTTGAAAAATAGAAATGGAAATTTCTTCAGGACAATTATGCAATTTATTTTTCTTTGGCTAGATGCAGCAAAAGAAGGCTGACTGAAAGAGCACTGTAAGATCAAAGCCTTTCACAGTACGCAGTATTCAGAAATCCAGCAGCTCAGATACAAATTCAAAAGTCCATTTTAATTTATTTTTAAGCTGGGGTATATTTACCACTGTAGGATACTGCCACAGATGAATTTTTACTCTGATGTTCTTCTGTTTCCTAGCAATGTTTTCCATAAATTCTAATTAAAGTTACCAGTGTTGCTGCAGCATTTAGTTTTCATGCAAGAGTAGTTTATTTCTTCATTGAGCAGAGAGGGATGGAAATTATTACTAAATTAGACTGCACACCTATCCCCAGGCAATCACCAAGTCAGGCACTGCTGAGTGACTTAGTCACAAATAACTATTATGAATCCATTTTTCCATATCTGAATGAAAAAATTTTCGTGTGCAGGCTACTTTTAGACCTGATTAATCTTAGACTATTGTCTGGTGAAGGGTCCCAGACACCTTAATTTCATAAGGGCTGCAGCAAGTAGGTCTGTTCTTACCAAGAACAAACAGTACCCTCAAAGCTAGTATTTCAAATTAATTCAAGTTTGGTTAAATTTCTTTCAAACAGGAAACACAGTAAGTGATTTAAACTTTGGAGATTTGGATTTGATTTTGCTGTCATGCTTCTCTGTGACCTTAGGCAAGATGCTGTTTATTTTTTTTTAAGCTTTAGTTTCCCATGAGGAAGAGGAGGATCACAGCACTTTCCTAATTCATTCCTGTGCTGTGAGTATGGAAAAGTGATGACTGGTTGAGAGATGTATGCAACCTTTGGGAAGGTACCTAGAAAAATACCTTACACAGACTGCAAATCCATGACTGAGACCCACCAAAGCTAGAAATCCTCTTTGGGTAATGCACTGGATGTACACATAGTCCCAGAGTCAGCCCATAAGGCTTGGACAAATCCCAGAACCTCTCTGCCTCGCTCTCTGCCTGCTCGCTGCTGTGGGATATAGAGGGGTCCAAGCCTCCAGACCCCGAGAGTCTGTATGGAAGCTTATGCCGCAGCCTTGGCCCCGTGGAGGAGTGAAATTAGAGTTTATTTTTCCCAAACGCCAGCAGATGGCACCACAGGACCAGTAATGATAGAGATCAGTCTTTGGCTAAACCCTTAGGAAAAGCAATGTTTTCAGTTAATTGACTGGAAATGTTTAAAACCCGTCTCAGAAAGCAGGCTGATGTTCCTAGTGTAGGAGACAAAATGAATCATATCTGAACCTTGAAGGCAAATTGGAGAAAAACAGAAAAAGTTCTGTTTAAAATAGAAAAAAAAGTGAATTATAGTGTTACATTCACAAGCTGGTCTTTTTCTCCTAAAAGGCAGGGGTTTTCAGTGGTGGTTTCTTCTTGCTATAATTCATTATGTTCTTGTGAATTACTAGCAAACTAAACATTTTCCTTCTCACTTCTGAATGTCTTTAAAATGTAGTGATGCATATATCACCAATTTATGTTCATCAGTATGACAGAATATATCCCTCCCTGTAGTGTTGTCCTCTTACTAAGTATAACGTAAACATCAAATAGCATTTTGAATACTAATTGACAGGAAGACTTGATTTGCTAGGCACTGTGTACACACAGATTAACTTTTGTCTCAGATGGGTATGACCCAAATGAAACCGCGCAGAATATCAGTGGAAGTATTATTTCCATTTTAAAGCAGTGGAAATGAGGTGCTATTGTGTTAATCGATTTGTTTTAAATCATCTGAGAAGTCTAGGCCAAGTCTAGGCTTAGAAGCTGCTTGAACTCTGGTCTAGCCCCATGTTCTCCATCTGTTAGGAAAATGCAGGCTCTAGTACAAATAAAATGTAATGTTCCTTGTTTCAATTCTTGCAGTTTAAAATTCCATTCCCAATGCTAAGGGATATATTGGGTATTAAAATAGCAATGGGAACCAGTGTTGCTTAGTCAAAATCACCCACGTGAGAACAAACAATTTCCAAGAGCCATGCACACAAAATGTCCACATATTGTGCATACATCCTTGCTGACAGAAAGCAGTATAATATAAATTTAGAAAAGAGGTACGTAGTGAATACATTGTAATTTGGCGGGAAAATACCTGGGGAGATAGTGAGGAGGGATATGGTTCTATCCAAACAAAAATTGCCACATCATTTTTTGCCTTTACAATCTCAGATCAAAATTATGATAAAACATACCTACTTATTTCAAGTGTCTTAACCAGCATGCTTCAAAGCACTGTCAGTGCCAGGTGGGCAACGTTAGGTACAGTACAACTTATAGATACAATACCTAAAGAACTGAGAGATAGTATGCACATGCAAGTTCAGCAGTAAAACTGATACTTATATTTAGACATCTACGTGCTTGCTGGGTGTCTAGTTGCTGTTAAACTCAATAGAGGCTAGAGAATGATTCAGCTGGCCATCTGTGAGTTGTGTAGAGTGAGTTGAACCACTTTGTAGGCTTTATTGCCCATATTGCTTGGGTATCCATTGACTTTCAGGTTAAACAGTTGCCACTTGTGTGCATGCCTATATTTAGGTGTCTTAAAGTAAATCACACCTTTCATGCGTGTTTGTCCTTGTAGTAGATGTTTGGTTTTTCACCTCACATCATGATTACTTCATCACACAGAAAAGCAAAATAAAACTGTGGACCATAAAAGCAGTATCAGTTTTACTTCATTCTCCTGTTGAAATGCTTTAGCACCCTGGGGTTCATGACGGCAGGATGAATTGCCGTTGGTAGCCTGAAAGTAGAATCAAGAGAAAAAGCAGACTGCTTGGTCTGAAGCAAGATTACTGCTCACAAGCAATGCATCCCACAGGTTACTTTAAGGAAATAAAACAAATTTCCTGAAGGGTAATTGCTCAACGGCAACAGGGAGAAGAGTGCAAAAGAACGGGCTGCACTGTGAAGATGCAGGTAGTACTCTTGTAATGTTTCCATTTTCCCTACTGTCTAAGCTGAATCAGATGGATGAAGTTAACCAAATGCTGTGTAATTTTCTTCTTGATCTAGCATAGTACCAGGATGTTTTCGTATACGGGGAAATACAGTATCTTTTTTACCCATCTGCTTTCTGAGAATCAAATATCTATGCATTGGGAAAGGGCTACCAGAGATATTCTGTCACTCGTGCAGGACATTGTATATGCCTAGTTTGCAATGCCAGTATTTGGGCATCTCACTTCAGTACTGTCTCTGGCCTTTTATACAAGCTTCTCCCTTGTAGAGGGAAGGTGATTTTTTACATTGATCATATTCTGCCTTGTGCATCATCCTGCTGTCATTTTTTGTGAGACGTTTGCTTTCCCTTATGAACAGTTTAAACACTTCTTTCTACTTAGTTCCTCCCACACATCTCCTACCCACTTTCTCACTCACATCTATAGCAAAAATGCAATATGCATTTGAAAAAATATAATGTTCTCCAATTTTTACTCCAAAAGGTGTGCGTATAGAGCAGGATAGAGTGTAAGGACTCTGTGCTTAT